GGTGAGTTAATGGTAAGACTGAGTCAGACTAAAATGGTTCCTCCGTGTGAGATTCAAATCCATCTGGGTCAGGTCGTGTGCGGCACACGTAGACGGACAGCTTAACTTTGTAGACTACTGCGCCCGCGTCCGCCATCGGACACCTTAACAGCATAGCAGGATGGGTGAGGGAAGAGTGCGATAAATACTTCGCAAGTCTACCTCACCAAAAAGTAATTAACGCCCAAGTCACCGGCGCTGCGCGCGGGGGACATTATCGCTGTCTACTGTCTCGAACATATTCTTTGCGGCAGCGAGATTGTCATAACAAGGTATGGTTGGTAGAACGGAACAATAGAATTGAAAAGAAACCAAAGACCAAGTTCGGAAACCAGTACAGCTCGCACTACCAGATGTTACTTAGAAGGAAACTGAGAGAATCAATGCTGTTTACTGCTCGCATGGTAGCTCGAAGTAATATATTATTACCATCCTCGGATGAATGCCATAACCATTTCTAAAGCCATAAGCTTCCCCATAGCAGACGTGTCTCATCCGTCGTTCTTCACAAAAACAAACAATACCTGCCGAGTTACGCTTGCAAAGCACCGAGTCACTCTTTTCACTCCTGTGATGGTTTGTTGGCGGCACAATATCCGGACGACTGTGCGCAGTACCCAAAGTATCACTCCGTCCCCTCTGTTGCTTGGTCCAGATGTGCTGCTTTTACTCCCCGACCGAAGAAGATTTCAAAGCAGGGAGCCCCTTCATTATAGACCCATCTTAGACTTGACAATCCAATAATATTCAGTAAAGAGTCACATTGCCACCTCTGCCACCAACCACAACCGTTATCACTACCCATCACAACCTAAAGATTTGATGCTGCAACAAAAGCCTTAGGATGTAGTTATTAAACTGCATACTTTACTTAGAAAGAGTAATGGATTGTAAATACAGGGACTCTAGCGTGAAGTTGAAGTGACTGAGTACGCGGCTACGCCAATGACGTCAACCTAAGGCTATACTTTACAATTTATATGCTATGCTGGATAGGTATGATGGACAGGGAGTGGTTCGGTACAATCGAAATAGATAGCAAACTTAAATAACAGGCAAATACAATAATCGCAAGACCGTCACGAGAAGACAAAAGCGACCGAATCAAATTATCTGGTTGACCAACCTTGGATGGCGACGTAAGCCAGGAGAAGCG